CTTTTCCAGATCCTCCCAATGCGGAGGCCGGGGAGGGAGAGGGAAGGTGGAAACGATGCTGATTTTATCTTTTTGAATGTTGCGACCTGCGAGGTTACCGCTAGGAACACCGGGCGGTGATCAGGTTTTGATCTGCAGAAGGAAGTCCTGGCCGCCCATTTGCTTACGCAGCAGCTCACCATGTTGAATGACATTTGATAAGGACATGGGGATTCTTTGAACAAGAGTCTGGAAACACTGCGAATTAATCCAGAAATGAGTATAGGATAGTCCGTGAGGTGCCTTCGCCTGGCCCTGTTCCCTGTGTTCTCCCTCTTCGCTGTGATCAGACGATGGTGCGTTACCTGACACAGAACATTTGAACGAGGGAAGATGCGGTGGAAATAGCCCGTGTTCTCTGTGACCTGGCAGCCTCGCCCCCGCCCTCCCGGCCCCTCGGTGCCCTCGCTGGCTCCGACCCGCTCGCCCTCCCACGTGCCCGGGGACCGCATTCTGTGTTGGGAGACCACCCTGCACAACCAGCCTGTTTCCGGGCAGCAGCCCCACCCCAGCCCTGCACAGCCGGCCGCATTCATTCCGATTTGCTGTTCCGTTCCTAAAAGCAGCTGGATTTATTCCCCCACTGCTGGGGCGTGTGTTTCTCTCCCACAGGCACGTACATAGGTGCCTTGATCGGCCACCCCGTGGCCCTTCATCAGGCCGGCCTGGCTTTACAAGGCGTCAGTATTTCTACATCAGGCGTAAGGCCTCTCCCTGGAGTTCATGCTGGAGAAGTTATGGCCTGATTAGCCTGATAGGTACTGTTTACCCCTAAAGACGCCCGGCCTATTCCTGCTTAAGCCGCGTGTCTGTGGGTAACAGACACTCCTGTGTAAATCTCCACCGCAGACCCGGGCACTTTTACGGCTCTCTGCTGCCGTAGAAATGATTGGGGAGCTCGTTAAGTCAACTCCGCCGTAGTTTAGGGCGGCTACGGAGCCCACGGAGGATGGAGAGAGAACGATTAAGCTTCAGCGAGAACGAGGAGGTTCTTTAAGGGCGAGGGAATGAAGTCAGGTGCACATCTGTGATGGTACCAGCCTTTCCCCTCACTGTTCACTTTCTGCATTTTCCCTCCAGAGCTGCCCAGAAGTTGAATCTGTCTTCTAAGAAGAAGAAGCACCGACCTTCCACTTCCGTGGCCGAGCCCCCGCTCTTCGGCACCAGCTTCAGTGGCATCCTGCAGACCTCCCCGCCCCCCGCCCCGCCCTGCCTGCTGCGGGCGGTCAGCAAGGTGAAGGACACGCCGGGCCTGGGCAAGGTAGGCACCCCGCCGTCTCCACTGGCTCAGAGTGTGGGGCTCTGTATGTGGGGAAAGGAGAAAACCAGGGCTCCGGTTTATTTGTTTAAAACAGGAGGTTGACCATTGGCCTATGAACCAGGAGGTCACAGTTCAATTCCTGGTCAGGACACATGCCCAGATTTCGGGCTCCATCCCCAGTGTGGGGCGTGCAGGAGGCAGCTGGTCAGTGATCCTCCCTCCTCATTGATGTTTCTATCTTTCTCTCCCTCTGTCAGGGCCCCGTAAAAAAAAAAGAAAGAAAGAAAGAATAAAGGAGG